TGACCCGTGAAGATCCGGGGTAGAATAGGTCTTCAGCAACCTATTCTTGTCATAAAAGGCGACTATACTTGTCGTAAAAGGCGACTAACGGGATCGGGTGGTCAGGCTCGCTGACTTGGTTGACACATGTCATCGGTTCCCAATTGCGCAGATCGATGCTCATGCTGTTGATCACTGGATTGTCTGGTCCAGACTCGATTATTTACAGACCGCCGCCATATAGCTGGAATATTGCTGAGTGCGGCGTAAAACTAAACTCACTCACTCACTCACTCTTTAGCTATGTGGAAGTTTCTTGTAAGCATTATTTCCAGTTCCTCTTCACTTTAAGAAGTTTAATACATGGCTTTGCTGTCAAGGCAGACATGTATTAATTTTTGGTAGTACAATCAAAATTAAACATCATTGACCAAAGAGGAGGTAATCCTGTTCAGGCATGCCTGCGTATTACCTGTTCTGATCAGCACATTTCTGTACAGGATTCCCCCTTGACTAAATGATGGAGTGATATGAGCATTTGACTTAGATTGTTTACCAATCACAAAAAGGGTTGAGTTTCATCCAGAAGCTCTGACAATGCCAGTAATGGAGGAGCTATTCCCTCCTGCCGTATCATTTCACGGCCAACAGATATAAATTCCAGCTCATTCTGCCTGAAATCCCATGATGCAGTTCTGCTCTGGCTGGCTCTTCGTTGAAAATAGATTTGAATGGGATTCCCTTGAAGTGACAGAATTTTGACTTGAGCACATGTTGTTTTTAATTACACACTTGAATGGAAATGTTAGAATAGGGTGCGTATTCTAAAGAACCAAAACTGTTCTAAACCTTAATCATATGTTTTGTTTTTAATTACCACACTTGAATGGAAACATTGTACATTTGTGACAAAAGGATATGCCTTCCTTGCTGTATTTTAACTCTGTCGCCAGAGCGATTTTCAGTTAGTTGTATAGAAATGTGTAGCACCGCGCTCATCATTTTGATGATTTCGACATCAACGACGACATGCCGAATCGCTGCTTTGTCGCCAATTGCTCCTAGGGGTCGGGCGATGGTGTCCCCATGCTCAGATTTCCACAGGACCCCGCGAGTTCGTAAGCTAAATGGGTTTAGTTTAGAGTGCGAAGCGAAGCGTAGTGGAAGCCTGAAACGATATCTTACTTGTGTTTCAGATCGCTTCACGGAAGTTAAAGAATCAAAACTACTTTACTAGATTTTCTATGACACAACTTGTAACATAACGATTTCTGCCTCGGAAGTGAGGTTGTGGTCGAAGTAACAATAATATTGTAAGTAGTATTATATTGACTCACCTCGCTGCCACGAGAGAAATTGTTATGTTATATCGCACGTCATGCAAAATCATATTGGTTATCAATCAAATACATATTTTACTATCAGTAGAAAGTAGTTTTGATTTTGTAGACTTCGGTGAAAACAAACCTAAATACCATTTATCCTCAGACTGGCGGATGTTCCCGACAGGGCGCCGCCATTTTAAAAATAAAAAATCTGTTAGAATTAATGAGATTATAGTTTGTTTTCACTAAGTTAGAAAATCAAGACTACTTTCTACTCATGAAGTTAAATATGTATTTGAATCATAACCAAACGGATTTTGCATGACACAACTTATAACATAACGATTTCTTCCACGGAAGCCAGGTGGGGGTCGAAGTCACAATACTGCCCGAAAAATTTCTTTGCTACATTCCCATGGTTAATGTCCACTCACCAGTATGTAGATACTAGTCAATGTGCGCCTTTATATTTGGTCTTATAATCCTAATTAGTTTATTATCACACTTGTATGCATTTTGAAACTAAATAAAAAGCAGACGATCTGCTGATACTTATAGTGAATTTATAACAGAACTGTAATATCTAGACATTTTATAGTTTGCCAATGTGAATCATAATTCGCACATTAATTCTAGTGCATGTTGTCTGTCTCATTACACTTCACGGCGAAAACAATGATTCTGTTGAATGCTACTGAACAAAATGAATAAAACAAAATGCAAATATTAAAATTAAAACAGATTAAAAGTTATAGGAACAATATCAGGCCATTACCTTGTTCGAGGAATGTATCCATCAATATCCACAAAACTGTTCCAAATGATGTGTCTTTTAACAGTTTAATATACGTAAAAAGTGATAAATCTTTTCAGGTATTGGTGTATAGTCTCATTGGTCACCCAAGATAGCACACCTGGCAACTAAAAACAGTAATTTAATTAGCCAATAATGGGCAATCAATCAATGTATTGCCGGGTTAATCCTTTGAAAGAAGGACGCTTGTTTTACGCAGACACCGCATTAATTTACAGAGTGTATTCAGTATAGATTAGTAAATCTACATACATAAACACTACCTTTGACAATTCCTACGGTGTAAGATAAAAGTAATTAATCAATCGTGGTTATCGGTTAATCCTTTGATCGATGTTTATAATGTTGAATATTTACTCCAGACACAAGAAATGCCAAATGGGAACCTTTGTCGGTAATCTAAGTGTGTTACCACTAATTATACCTGTTATAAATTCATTAACTGACCATCAAGTGAATGATGACAAATAACATGTGTAGGTTTATACCACCTAACACGGGTTACAAATAAGGGAGTATTAATTGCTGTATTGCATGTGAAAACTTATGGGCCTATTAATTGTTTTGAGAATACAAAACAGATTTTACATGACATGATTAAATATCGAGGTAAAAAGCACAGAAATGGGATCAATTTGGATCAGTCATTATACAAATAGGGCCTAACGACACCAATCGATTTTGACAGAATCGTTTATGAAAACGAAGTTGTAACTCGAAACTAAGGCAAAGCAGGAGACAAAATTAAATGACAGTAGATTGTGAGAACATATAGCTTTCATTTTCCACAACAATTGTCACGATTTCAGGTTTATACAAGCCTGTAAACAAGATAATTTAACCCCTAAAATGTAGATGAATTCTGCATCGGCCCTCAAAGCTATTCCTCATATGACGTCCACAGGGCCACCTCTGATTGGTTGAAATTTCGCTCGCTGGGTGAGAAATTGTGCACTGTTGTCAAAAGGTCGATTTAAGTCAATTAAAGGTCGAAATGAGTAGTTTTAATGACGGGTTTCATTTATAACGATGCCAGTTAGTGATTTATGTATTTGTACCCCCTAGGGTTTATGTGACCTTTAAGTGTTTTTGTTCATTAATAATTTAGGTAAGAATGTAATTTGACATACATGAACTGAGATGGCCCCTAAATCTTTCCCACAAATATTAATGAGAAATAGGACAAGTCAAGACATCCAATCAGACTGTGTTGAAATACATATTCATCTGTCGGGTAATATGATGAAGTTGATTAATGGCTGCTCCTGTTCGGCTAAGGATAAACATTTATCAAAGAGAATTAAATGAGAACGTAATTCGTAAATTATCTAAATGGAATGCTTCACTGGGTATAGGATGGATATTTCTATGGAATGAAATCATTTCTACATTTCAGAGATTGTTGGCTACAGGGGTGAAAACAAGGTCAAATTGTGAACACGATGCGATGAAATTTTTATAACGCCATTTTATGAATATGTGTAAGCATCTCGAACATTGGTCCGACTTTTTGGTTTGAATGTAACACCTATAACATGTAACAGCGTTAATTGATCAAGTAAATCGTAAATGCACCCAATAAGGTTTGTCAAATATTTTTGCATGTGCGACACAGACCCGGAATATTTCGAGCAGATGATAAGAATGTGAACCCTCCTTAGCTGTTGCACAGAGTGAGTGAGTGAGTGAGTTTAGTTTTACGCCGCACTCAGCAATATTCCAGCTATATGGCGGCGGTCTGTAAATAATCGAGTCTGGACCAGACAATCCAGTGATCAACAGCATGAGCATCGATCTGCGCAATTGGGAACCGATGACATGTGTCAACCAAGTCAGCGAAACTGACCACCCGATCCCGTTAGTCGCCTCTTACGACAAGATAGTCGCCTTTTTATGGCAAGCACATGGGTTGCTGAAGACCTATTCTACCCCGGATCTTCACGGGTCCTGTTGCACAGAGGTGTCAATGGCTATCACCACAGTCAATGGTGCATTACAGTTGGGCTGTTTTGATGACGTCTCATGGCCGACCGAACCTATTCAACATCAAAATAAGGATTTTATTCCCCATTTATTCACTATATATGAAATATTTTGACATATTCGACCAACCAAGTCCATTACGCCTCTGCAAAAGTTCGGAAATCAGTTTTCGTCATTTCTTTGATGTTTTTGACTTCGTGTGGCTACCACATGGGAACTTGTGTAGCCATTTTGTTTTGTTGAGATTTCGTTTAAATTGGTCCACCCTTTGAACTCAGTTGGGTTTGTTTACAAGACTCAACGAGTCAGAGGCCCATGGGATGAGAACAGGGTTTGTGTTTATTTGTTTATGTTTGTGTGTTTATGAAGGGAAGTTTTGTCTTGGCCCTGGGTCTATATGCATCTGTATACATCGTAAGATCTATGTAGATTAAAGGGTATGAATGGACGCGAAAAGGAAATATCACGTGAAGATATATGTTGCTGACGCGGATATGAGCCCTTTGAAAGTTGTGAATAGCTTTTGTACACTTAGTGTACACATGGTCAAAGATGTTTTGATAAATTGCATGTTTCATTTCTGTCAGTTTGATGATACCTTTTTTAAAAATTCAAAGATACAGTTTTCTCATCTTAAGTGGAAATAACTTTGTAGAAAATAGCATAACAGATACAAAAGCATACATTTTATATTGTCAGCCTTAGCTGGGATATGAAGTAATTAAGTATTGAAGAAAGTTTTACGTAATTTTTACAGGAAGTATATATGTTTTCTTTTTCCTTATTTCGACAGAAAATGATCCATTGCATTTTTCAAGCGTGTTCAGGAAAGTGTAACTCTTTTAGAAGCACATTCTGTTGAGTATAAGGAAAATTGGCAAACAAACATGATTTGCAAAGTTGGGTAGCCTAGTGGTTAAAGTGTTCACTTGTCACACCAAAGACCCGGGTTTGATTCCCCACATGGGTACAATGTGTGAAGCTGTTGTCCCCTGATGTGATATTGCTGCAATATTGCTAAAAGCAGCTTAAAGTTATTCTCATTCAATCAGGGGCGGTGGGGTGGCCTAGTGGTTAAAGCGTTCGCAGGTCACGCCGAAGACACGGGTTTGATTCCCCACATGGGTACAATGTGTGAAGCCCATTTCTGTGTCCCCTGCCGTGATATCGCTGGAATATTGCTGAAAGCAGCATAAAACCCAAATCACTCACTCACTCACTCTCGTTCAGTCACCTAATGTTTCTTGGCCTTTATTTGGATACACATTCAAAGCCTTCTATAATGCTCAAAACAAGTTAAGAACGCAGACAAACGGACCACTATCTATTGAAAAATTCATCTCTTTATCTTCAAGGTCTCCGTGGCTGTTAAATATATTAGTGAAAAATCCAACAAAAGTATTTGTCTGTCACTTGATCATAGGGCTGGCTGTTGATATACCTCATGGAAATCGATAATTGTCAGCTTAAATTATCGATCGATTGAGATAAATGTAGAAGTAACTTTGAGCCAAAATGCCACAAAAAGTCCAAAGAAATCACAATATTTCACATCAATGATGACTAGTGATGACGGCTTGGCAACGAAAACAGCATCCCATATTTTAGAAGCAGTCTGTGAGTACAGACATAACTGTAATTTAAAACGCTCAGCAGTAAGTACGTATTATGGATGACACAATGTTCATATCGGTAATCACTGATAATTCTTCGCATCAGCGATATTTCCGCTTATCGATTCTGTTACCCAGCCCTGCTTGATCGACTCTGCTTCCATGCTATAATACACATTGTCTTGGGTGACCTAAATCCGGCACAAGTTCCTGTAATTGACAGGAATTCCAAGACTGCTGCCTTAATGAGCCCTATGCTAATAGGATGGATGGAATGAGGGGGTAATGGGGAAGGGGGTTGTTGAAAATTCTCACTCCAATGACAGAAGGGCATGGAGTATGGAGCAGAGTTGTCGGATAAGGCTGTTCCAGTGGAGCGTACTGTTTTCATGTTAATGCTTGGGGAGGGGGAGTATGGAGCAGAGTTGTCGGATAAGGCTGTTCCAGTGGAGCGAGCTTACAGTTTCCATGTTGATGCTTGGGGCGGTGGGATAGCCTTGTGGTTAAAGACCCAGGTTCGATTCCCCAGATGGGTACAATGTATGAAGCCAATGTCTGGTGTCCCCTGCCATACTATTTCTGGAAATTGCTAAAAGTGGCGTAAAAGTAACCTCACTCACTCACTCATGTTGATACTTGTGTTTTTATTTGTTGTATTTCTGATACAGTTGGTACAATATGTGAAGCCCATTTCTGGTGTCCCGCGCTGTGATATTGCTGGAATATTGCTAAAAGCAGCGTAAAACTAAACTCACTCACTCACTCACTCTGATACAGTTCGTCATCTTTCGGAAGATGGACCATTGATGTGGACAGTTTTAAAAATTAGGATATGCAGTTTTGAAAAGTTAGGATATGCAGTTTTGAAAAGTCACTGTTTAATTATGTTTAATGATATTACTTTCCAGAAAAACCCTTTTTTACCTTCACTGTTTCTTGAAAGCTGTTCAGATGGTAAATATTGAAGCAACATTATGTCCGCAAGCTGTGACACTTGCAACACACGCATCACTTCAAACAGCTTCCAGAAATTGCTGCAAAATTCCTGTATAATTGATATGAAGGTATCTGTCTTTTTCATTAGAGAAGCCTCCGAAATTCTTGTGAAACTACCATGTCCAAATTTTCCAAGTGCTTAATATTTGGATGAGTTTGACTAAATGCAAGTATGTTAACTAACATTCCCAAGATAGTCACTAGTTGTGAGATGGTGGAGCTCGCCAAGGGAACGGGAACATGGTATGGGGTTCATTAGCTATAGGGTCACAGTGTCGTGGGGTTCAGTACACCCCCCCCCTCTATACAGGGAGCACCAGGATTCCCCTCGTTATAAGGTGTTACCTAGACCCAGTAACAATTGTCTCCCTGTGCAGGGAAGGGGATTACCCTTGGGAGACGTGGAAGGTAGAATGCGGGCAGGTAAGGGATGCTTCTGTGTTTTTGTCGATATTGAGTCGACCTTGATGGTTGTAAAGTCCAAGGCTGGTACAAGCTGAGTTCCTGAAGTGCAGTGGACCTGAATTAGATGTCCCTGCAATATAGGCTGTAGTGATTGAGACAGTAAGGTCCTGGATTCTAATGAAGGTGATGGGTCTCAGCCTGTACGTCCCTACAGAGACTGATCTACGTTCTGCATGGGATGAGTCTTTATGGCTTGTACTATTACTATTTCTAAAGAATGTAGAGCTGTGATGATATATCGTAGTATCGATAATCGTGATACTTTTTCTGACAATAAATATATCGATACTTTTTTCGTATCGTGATATGTATCGTTGACCTTAAAATTGTGAATTTTCACTAGAAATTGAAGGTTATGTCAAAATTTACACTGTTACATGTTATCAAAATACACATTTTAAAAGAAAATAACTATAAAGATAGCATATCGTGATATGCATCGGATCGAATCGTATCGTTCCAAGATATCGCGATACGTATTGTATTGTGAAATTTCTGTATCGTCACACCTCTATAGAATGTATGTTAATCTGCTTGTAGGGATGGGATTTAGACAAACATTTGGTCTCTGAAGCTATAGAACTTTGATAGAAACAAATAACTATTTAAATTGAATAAGATCCCCAGTGAGTTGGAGATTTAGACAACCTGAAGAAATGTAGACTTGCTTCATTTAGGGCAGGGGCAGTGGGGTAGCCCAGTGGTTAAAGCGTCGCTCGTCATGTCGAAGACCCGGGTTCGATTCCCTACATGGGTACAATGTGTGAAGCCCATTTCTGTGTCCCACGCAGTGATATTGCTGGAATATTGCTAAAATCGGCGTTAAACCATACTCACTTACTCACTCACTCATTTAGGACTTTGTAGTACAGTAAAGATTAGGTAGAAGGGAGAATAAGTGGCTTGGTGTCTGTGGAACAGCCTAGGTTGTGGTTACCCCCTTGTTAACATGCCTCAAACAGTCTACCCCATGTTGTGTCTCTCAGCCAGGTTGTGGTTACCCCCTTGTTAGCATGTCTCAAACAGTCTATCCCATGTTGTGTCTCTCAGCCAGGTTGTGGTTACCCCCTTGTTAGCATGTCTCAAACAGTCTACCCCATGTTGTGTCTCTCAGCCAGGTTGTGGTTACCCCCCTTGTTAACATGTCTCAAACAGTCTACCCCATGTTGTGTCTCCCAGCCAGGTTGTAGGTTACCTCCCTTGTTAACATGTCTCAAACAGTCTACCCCATGTTGTGTCTCCCAGCCAGGTTGTGGTTACCTCCTTGTTAACATGTCTCAAACAGTCTACTCTCATGTTGTGTCTCCCAGCCAGGTTGTGGTTACCTCCTTGTTAACATGTCTCAAACAGTCTACCCCATGTTGTGTCTCTCTCAGCCAGGTTGTGGTTACCTCCCTTGTTAACATGTCTCAAACAGTCTACCCCATGTTGTGTCTCCCAGCCAGGTTGTGGTTACCCCTTGTTCGTGCATGTCTCAAAACAGTCCTACCCCATGTTGTGTCTCTCAGCCAGGTTGTGGTTACCCCCTTGTTAGCATGTCTCAAACAGTCTACCCCATGTTGTGTCTCTCAGCCAGGTTGTGGTTACCCCCTTGTTAGCATGTCTCAAACAGTCTACCCCATGTTGTGTCTCTCAGCCAGGTTGTGGTTACCCCCTTGTTAACATGCCTCAAACAGTCTATCCCATGTTGTGTCTCTCAGCCAGGTTGTGGTTACCCCCTTGTTAACATGCCTCAAACAGTCTACCCCATGTTGTGTCTCTCAGCCAGGTTGTCTCCAGCTTCTCCTGGTATCTATATACATGTGTAGTGTTGTTACTGTTTTGGTGATAGCTGTAACAACTTTGGTTGTATCAAGCTAAGGGAGGTTTTCTTTGACATGTTTTACAAACATAGCTTTTAGTGTTCCATGGATGATGGGGCTCGGATTTTACCGAAGAAAAATAGTAGTCCGCTGTGTGGAGGTGTATACTACATGAACACCTCTTCTCCTCCTTTCTGAACACCCCCCACACCCCTCCCTCAAGTAAAAGTGGTGGGGTGGGGTTACTTAGCATTCGATCATCATGCCGAAGACTGAGGTTCGATTCCCTGTATGGGTGCAAAGTGTGAAGCCCATTTCTGGTGTACCCTGCCGTGATATAGCTGGAATATTACTCAAAGTGGCGTTAAACCAAACTCACTCACTCAAATAAGAATAAAAAAATGTTATGGGACAGGAAACAAAAGGGGGAATGTGAGTGCATGCATGTGTATGGAAAGTTTTCCCCTTTATTCTGTGATATCTTGGCTTCTGTACACAAAACATCATCTGGTGTGATCTGTTTAAAGAACTGACTGACTGACTGACTGACTGACTGAGTTTGGTTTTACACCGCTTTTAGCAATATTCCAGCAACATCACGGCGGGGGACACCAGAAACTGGCTTCACACATTGTACCAATGTGGGATTCGAACCCAGGTCTTCGGCTAATGAGCTAACGCTTTAACCACTAGGCTACCCCACCGCCCCTGTTTGAAGAAAGAGCTGTTCTGGCTGATGAAGTTTTCTATTGTCTTGTTACATCTCATCATTGTTTGTTTAATGTTCTTTACTCAGCATGCTCGAAATGATTTACTGAACCAAATTAAACTGAGTGAACTCAGAAGATAAGGTTTTATATCCGAGTGTTTTGATATCAGAGTGATTCGGGTTCAACCAAGGAAGGTTGTTGCGGAAGGAGAAAGTTTCCATTGAAAGCTGGCATATGAGCAAGTTGTGCCTAGAGAGTGGAGATCACCCAGGGTTCCTGCAAATATGCCGCTAATGCTAAAGTGGTTGTAGTAATGGGAGTGGACGAGATATGTGGTTAGTGGCGACTTCACATTAGAGAGGTCGAGACTTTAAACATCTGTTGCTATGATACTGATGCGGGTCTGTTGGATATGACACTCCTGTTCCTCTTCCTCCGCTCTCTCCATCCTTCACATTCCTTCTTTCCATTCAGTATTTCCAAAGCTGCCTATCCTTGCTGTCAAGTACCTTCATCACACGTGTACTTTCTTTATGAGTTTGAATGGTAAGAGGTATTCGTCTGTCGACTTATTTATATTCAGTACTTTTCATGAATGTTTCTGTTACAGTCAAACACTGCATGTCAAACTTAGATGTGTCAACTTGTGGTTGTCTTGAGGTGTGAGCTTTGTCTCTGTGTACTTCTGTAACCCGGTTCGTTGATTTGGACCTTCCTTGCCAGTGACGAACGAATAGGAACTAAACTTCTTGATCGTCTAGTTGTATTTTATTTATCAAACGGTTTAAAATGCACAATTTCAAGTACCCAACAAACGTGCTGTCAGTAAGTTGAATGTCTGGGAATACACATGTTATAACAAACCAGGAATGTATTCCTGGTTACACTTCCATTTTTAGTGACCATTTTCCATTTGTCATTTTACCATTTTGTATTTGTGTCTTGGTAACAGCCAGGGGTGTTGGGTAGCCCAGTGGTTAAGGCGTTTGCTCTTCATGCCAAAGACCCGGGTTCGATTCCCCACATGGGTCCAATGTGTGAATCTCGTCTGTAAATAATTGAGTCTGGACCAGACAATCCAGTGATCAACAGCATGAGCATGGATCTGCGCAGTTGGGACCTGATGACATGTCAACCAAGTCAGCGAGCCTGACCACCCGATCCCATTAGTCGCCTCTTACAACAAGCATAGTCGCATTTTGTGGCAAGCATGGGTTGCTGAAGACCTATTCTACCCCGGATCTTCATGGGTCTCATATCTGTGATATTGCTGGAATATTGCTGGAAGCAGCACAAAACTAAATTCACTCACTAATAGCAGGAAGCATCTACTGAAGGTCCCTCCAACTTTGCTACAGCAGTGTTTGATTGTACTTGAATATTTCTGGATGTTCTGCACAAATCCTTGGATGCACTTGTAGCATCAGGTTATGTTCAGGACAATTTGAGAATGGTAAGAAATTTAGTTGTATCTGACGTGGTTGTTCTTCTCTTCCATCCTCTGATGTGGTGGTGCTCAGTGGACAATGTGTTGACTTATCAGTTGGAAGGCTGGTGTTCTAACCCCACAATGTATGAAACCCAGTCTTGTCTACCCTTCTATGAAGTTGCTAGGAAAACATGGAGACAAGTTTACTCTTCGATTTTCTTTTTGGATACAGTCAAAAGCTGGTCAGGTGCTTGAAATGTTCACTTATGCCAAACACCTGTTGATTCACCACGAAGGCACAGTGTGTAAAGTTGAGTTAATTGACAAAATATTCCCTGTTTTCTCTACCAGTGAAGGAGTGAATAATAGAAATCCTACAAAATCCTTGTTGCAGAGAATGAACTTGTGTGAACCCCGTTGACGTGTCTAATTTGTTTACCTTTCTTTTCCCCCATTGTCTCTGTAGCCAAGGTTATTACAAGTCCGGGGGGGACCTATTGAGGTAATGTGTGGTTGTACATCCTTGTCATGGAAGCAGTCCAAGAACTGAAGGCAGAGTAAACCACTCACTGAGTTGTTTAGTATTGATAGGAGCCAGGCAAGTGTGCTTGTTTGTATAAGATCTACCGGAAGTGATCGCAGACGAATGATGCTTCATGTTATGAACTTGGCTGCTTCACTGGGTTGGCCTTGGATGATGAATGTCTGTGTCCTGCTGGAAGAAATTATTTTGCTTCAATTTTCACCTGTGGTTATCAGTCACCTAAGGTTTCAGAAGGGGGAGGATATGTTGATAGGGTATCTTGGAGGGTTTGAAGATGGTCGGAGGTTGGTGAATGGATTGTGTATGACATGTTCACCACTAAAACCACAAGCTGTATAGAACTGAAAATATAACCTGTCAGACAATACAACTGGTCTGGCAGACAATACAACCTGCCTGGCAGACAATACAACCTGCCTGGCAGAAAATACGACCTGACAATACAACCTGTCTGTCAGACAATACAACCAGTCTACTAGACATTACAACCTGTCTACTAGACAATACAACCTGTCTGGTAGACAATACAACCAGTCAAGCAGACAATACAACCTGCCTTGCAGACAATACAACCTGTGTGGCAGACAATACGACCTGACAATACAACCTGTGTGGCAGACAATACAACCTGTGTGGCAGACAATACAACCAGGCTGGCAGACAATACAACCAGGCTGGCAGACAATACAACCAGGCTGGCAGACAATACAACCAGTGCTGGCAGACAATACAACCTGTGTGGCAGACAATACAACCAGTGTGGCAGACAATACAACCAGGCTGGCAGACAATACAACCAGGCTGGCAGACAATACAACCAGGCTGGCAGACAATACAACCTGTGGCAGACAATACAACCTGTGTGGCAGACAATACAACCAGGCTGGCAGACAATACAACCAGGCTGGCAGACAATACAACCTATCTGGCAGACAATACAACCTGTGTGGCAGACAATACAACCTATCTGGCAGACAATACAACCTGCTGGCAGACAATACAACCAGGCTGGCAGACAATACAACCAGGCTGGCAGACAATACAACCTGTCTGGCAGACAATACAACCTATCTGGCAGACAATACAACCAATCTGTGTGGCAGGCAATACCTGTGTTGCCCAGACAGTACACTGATATATTGATAGACAATAAAAACTTGTGTCATGCTCATCACGGATCCCAATCTGCCTCTTAAAACAGAGCGTAACAAGCGTATCTATTCATAATTGGATATCAGAAAAGAATAATTGTTGCGAAAGTATGGATCTGGAGTCTGTAATGAAGCAACACAAACCCATTCAGCAGAAGCTGGCGACAGCTTTATGGCCACCCACACAACAGTGCCGACCACGGCTACCTGGCAGCGGTGGGGAATAGCTGGCAGAGATTCTGGCTAGAAGCTGTGTGATGGAGGATACCAGCATGGTGTTCCACTTGGCACAGGGTCGGAATTGGAGAGCAAGAATGAACACTTGGTGAGATTGCGTTCCTCATCTCCAGGGCAATGTGTCCTGCACCTCTGAAGCAGTGTGTCCCTCACTCACCCTTGGGATAATATGTCTCGCATCCCTGGGTCAATGTGTCTCTCACCCCTGGGTCAGTGTGTCTCTCATCCCAGGGGCAGTGTGTCTCTCATCCCTGGGGTAGTACATCTCTCACCCCTGGGGCAGAGTGTCTCACCCCTGGGTAGTATGTCCCTCATCCCTGGGGCAGTGTGTCTCTCACCCCTGGGGCAGTTTGTCTCTCACCCCTGGGGCAGTGTGTCTCTCACCCCTGGGGCAGTGTGTCTCTCACCCCTGGGGCAGTGTGTCCCTCACTCCTTACCCCTGGGGATCAGTCAGGGACTGCTTGTTATGACAGAGGCATCTGACATATGTTATCTTTCAGCTAAATATTCAAGAATTGAAAATTTGAAAAGGTTTATATTACATTTATGTGGATTATATTCACTACAGGTTTGTTTCTAATAGTATTATGTACATGTATTCCTGTTTGTAAAATGATTGAATTGGTTTAAAGAGCTGCTGTCAACATATTAGGGACAAAGTAATTTTGTTTATTGAGCAAGGCCATTTTGTCATAAAGTTTTTTCATCTTGGGTCTCCAATGTTCCGTATGTTACTAAATGATTTTTTTTAAGTGGGTTAGAGGAGGAAGTGAGATAGTGCTAGAGCTAGTGCTCCTGGTGGGATAGTGCTAGGAGAATAGTGCTAGAGCTAGTGCTCCTGGTGGGATAGTGCTAGGAGGATAGTGCTAGAGATAGTGCTACTGCTGGGATAGTGCTAGGAGAATAGTGCTAGAGCTCGTGCTACTGGTGGGATAGTGCTAGATGGATAGTGCAGATGCTGGAAGTGGGATAGTGCGGATGCTGGAAGGGGGATAGTGCTGATGTTGGAAGGAGGATAGCGCTGATGCTGGAAGGGGGATAGTGCTGATGCTGGAAGGGGGATAGTGCTGATGCTGGAAGGGGGATAGCGCTGATGCTGGAAGTGGGATAGCACTGATGCTGGAAGGGGGATAGTGCTGATGCTGGAAGGGGGATAGTGCTGATGCTGGAAGGGGATAGCGCTGATGCTGGAAGGGGGATAGCTGATGCTGGAAGGGGATAGCTGATGCTGGAAGGGGATAGCCTGATGCTGGAAGGGGATAGTGCTGATGCTGGAAGGGG